AACCCACGAATCTTTGCACCTTGGACCGCACAAGACCGACTCGCAGCCGCCAGCCGCGTGCCATGGCGCATGGTCGGACGTACAGGTCGGACGAGCTGGTCGGACGTACGGGGTTAGTTGATGTTAGTTGGTCAAGAGGGTCATGCAATGATAATTACACCTAACAAACGCCCAAAGTACCAAACTGCGTGATTATCTTAAGATCAAACCAAAACCAGTTTTTTCCAAAGATCTCTGCGGGTCATATCCCATGTTCTACCCCAAGTGGTGGATCATATTGGTTGTGAAGGGGATGCTTTGCAAGTCCTTGGCAGGCTTTCTTGTTGGTAGATCCAATTTCTTGAGTCGCCTGGTGAACTTGTGTGAGCAAAGAGTTTCCGCTAAGTGCGGGTCACCTCTAGTTCAAACCCGGTCTTTGAAGCTGCTGGGTGCACTATACCATAACTTGTTTCAATCCTTGATTTTGACCACAGAACTTCGATCCAAACGCATCAAACATCCACTCACACTCTGAATCTAACTCCTTCGCACCTTCACCCCACAAGATCCAGACCCCTGCCCTGCTTCGACTCCCACGCACTGCCCTCTAGTTGGTGGACCACCTATTGGCCGCGCTTTAGATGATCCTGTACTTGGTGGTTCGGTTTTGGCTAGGGAACTTGTGTAAGTATCTTCTAAGTGGTTGGTAACTTAGTTACGAAGGGGTTAGGATAGAAGTTCTGTAACTGACACAAGTTTTTATGCTAAGATGTGGCACTTGCAAATTAGAGATTTCAAAGTTTAATATCTAGATTGTTGAAAATCAGGCAAAATAAGCTAAAACTAACTTAGGGAACTGAATTTTTGTGAGATATCAAATTTCAAGTTTTTGATGTACACCGAAACTGGTTATTTTTCACACTTTGATTCTTAAACTTGAGACAATGCCCAGTGGGCCACCACCAGCTACAGAGATGCACAGGGATTAAAAAGGGTGTCAAACACGGGTGGTTTGAGGTTACATATACTCCCGCGAAATCTACCGTTAACAAATTGTTGGTAGACGGTCTTGACGGGCTCACTGGAAAACACATTCTCCACATAGTTGGAACCATGTTCCAGTTCACCATTTGAGGTTGATGCCCCGCTGGTGACGAGGTGCTTCCAGAATTTGGGGAAAATCTGTGTGTGTGCGCTGGTTTGCCTTGACCTTTACATTTGATCCAATGTCCCATAATCAATACAAAAGTAGTGCTTAATAAACATATACATTATAACATACAATGTTTGCTTGCAAGACCAGCCAAGTGATTTGGAACGCATCAGTACATTTTGTCGTGGTTTGATCCGTGTTGATGATCAAAGCCACCCACTCTCCTTTGGTTATCGCTGAATAGTTGACCTACTTGGCATCCATCATCGCCGGTGCCCGGGGCCTTGTGGCGTGGGCAAAGGCAGCAGCACACAGAAGCTCGTGTGCAGCCTCATGCCGTATCGGTAAAAGTTTGATGCAGTGTTCGGGTCTAGTATACATTTCGAGACCAAAGCATACGAAGCAACCGACAGCGCTTTTGGGGGTTGCTGGATGGAAGGCGGCGGTCAATTGAAAGGTTTGCTGAGGACAATCCCTGGGTGATGTGTTTGGAGGTCAAGCCACGCTTTGGGGGTTGCTGGATGGAAGGCGTCAATTTGGGGGGCTTGCTCAGGGCAACCCGCGCCCGACACGCCCGGAGGCCAAGCCACGCCCTGCAAGGGGTCGCCGAACCGGGTTGCGGGACGCCAGCGAAAACGCACCGCAACACGCGCCAACCGAGCCCATCCGAACACCCACGACGACCAAGGCCGCCGCTTCGCGGGGCCGCTTCTTGACCCTAGCTGCATACTTGCGTAGTTTTGCCCACTGCTTATCCTGGCGTCCACCCAAGAAAAACTTTCCCAACGAACGGTGTGTGTAAGCCGACGCCAGACACTCCGCTCCTGCCGCCACCACCAAATGGCTCACGGCCCACTAACACTACACCTGACCTCACCTCGAACCCTGAAACGCGGTTCGCACCTCCAGTGACAAGTCGACTGTCTTGTCCTCGGCGTGCTTTTCACGCCCTCGCGGCCTCCCGCTCCTCCGGACGCCGGGTCGGGGCTTTGGCCCAGGCGTCCGCGGCGTCCACTATGATCTGCGAACTGCCCAGTGAGGTCCTGGGTGTCAAATCGACATCGTCCCACTGCTGCAAGTGGATTCATTGTTGAAAAACACTCCTACATAAAAAAGCAATTTCTTCAAAAATACCATGAAAAAGGCCTGCGGCCCACAACACCACCTGAGCGAGTGAGTGAGTGAGTGAGTGAGTGAGTGAGTGAGTGAGTGCGTGAGTGCGTGAGTGCGTGAGTGCGTGAGTGCGTGAGTG